TTTACAGCACTTGGTAAGCCTTTGTGATTGCTTGGAGGTGGAGGCATGTCAGAATTTCTGCAGCCAAATTTCAGGCCTTAGTGCTTGGCTGAACTCACTGAACTGACCCGTCACAAGAATCAGAGTTCCTATAGATTTCAGTGTCAGTAGAATTTAGCAGACAGATTTTGGATTTGTTATACTTCGTACTCCAAATCCTTGACAAGCCAGGAGTCAGAATGGTTTATTAATATGTCGCTATTTTTTTATTAGTTTTCCTAAATGATTAGCCGGCCTATTGTTAGCTGATCCATTGTCTCTCTCAACTTTTTTTTTCAAACAATTTTTATCTATGAACCAGATTATTTGGATAACAGTGATTGCAATTAATGATGTGGGAACAGGGAAATATGCTCTCCTTATGTTGTGGGTTCAGAATTAAGACAGGGAGTCCAAACACATGCAGTTCAAGTTAACCACATGGTCTAATGCAGCCCTGGCGATGCTAAGGATCACTGTGTCCATGTGTTTCCACCAGCAATTACTTTCCCAGCTGCTGTTGAAAAAAACAGAAAGCACACCAAATGGAATTGTCTGTAGGCACCAAAGATAACCCACTGCTGCTTGGGAGAATTGCTTTAGGCTTTGTGATCTTAAAGGTCTTTTCCAACCTAGTTGATTCTATGATTATCCTGACCTGGAAACAACTGGGCTGCGTAGGCATTAGGAATGGAGAAGGTCATTAAAAAATCATATTCAAATTCAAAGTATCTTTTGTACTTTTTTCCCCAGCTGTATTATTAATAGCTTGATCAGACTTAAGCAAAAAGCCTATTGAATCCATTAGCTGTAGGTCACTGATTCAAGCAGATTAACAGTAGCAGAAAGTGAAGGATGAATTACTGGTGTCTGTCTAACTACTTCTAGTGTTCGCCTTGCAGTTAAAGCTAATTTCAGTCACTTACTGGCAGTCACAGTGGCACCAGCAAGTGAGTGGGTCATGGAGACTAAACCATGCATTCATCCTGAATGGTCCCTTAAGGAAAAGGTGGGAGAGTGTTGGGGAAGCTTGAATGAAAGTTGCTCCCATTCCATGAAAATGCAGAAAGCCTTAGAAACCAGAACTGTTGACAACTTCTGATGCGTAAAAAACCCTGCGTTTGAATGAACTGCTGCAAGCATACATTGAAAATGAGAAGCCTAGCATTAAGTTGAAACTTCTACATAATAATCTGGACCATGAACTTACACTGCTTTGTCACATTATCTCTTTAAGATAAAGACTTTTCATCTAGTCTCTTGACGGTGACTCATTGGCATAATATTTTAAGTGATTCAAATAAACAGAAAAACGGAATACTGTTTTCTTTGTTCAAGAAAAAACTCGCAAAAAGTGAGAAGGACAGACCTCGCTTGCTCTCTGTGGTTGGATATTGGCTTTCCAGTATTTTCAAGTACACTAAGCAGTTTCTCATCCCATGCTACTTTACAAAACATTGATAGCCAGTGTATATTGCCCATTCAGCCTGTGATGCAATGTGTCATATTTGGTCTTTATACCCAGAACAATGATTTATCTTGTAGTAATAGCTTAAAAAAAAATTAGCTCCATCTCATTAGAGACACTGCATGTTTTTTCAGAGAAGAGTGACAGCCATAGAAGACCTGCTCTTGACAGTAAAAATGTATATATTATTATATTCTTACTGAGTTGAAAGTCACAGAACAGTCAAACACTTTTCTTGTCTGGCAGAAAACATTGCCCATCAGTTTTTCTGTGTTATGTGGTTTCTTTGTTTTCTTTTTCAAGATGATTGGGGTCAAGAAATGCAAAGTCCACAGAATAATATTAGGTATCTGCCAAGTGAGCACAGCTATGTGTGTTGGTAACTTCACCACACCACAGGATGCGTCTGATGAACTGGAAAGCTGAGAAATCATAATTATAAAAGTAAGGTACATTGAAACATTGAGTAATATGCATATTCCTCCCTTCTCCCCCTGGCAGGTCACCAATGCTTTTGTCACAGTTGCAGCTTAGTGACCAGCTTTTACATCACTGTCCCCACTGGTAACGTCACAAACCCCAATCCACATGGACTGTTTTGCTGCCATGTCACATTTATTTAATTGGTTTTCCACTGTCACACCACAGCTGCTTTTGATATTGCCCAATCAACATTTTTCTCACTCAGCAAACATGTTTTGCATTATGTTTTCCTCAGATCAACAGGCATTCCTTTTTCTATCAGATGAAACTTCCAGCCCTTAGTTTCAAGTGCTGTAGGCTCCTTTCTCTTAGTCTTTCTTGATTTCTGGCTGCATACTATTTTTCCAGTCAAATATTGCTTCTGGCCTTTATTCAGAAGCTACCACTTGCAAATCACTGTGAGGTGCTTGAAATGAAGTTTAGGTTATTACTAAATATTGTAGCTCCCCTTACAGTATCTCTTCCCTTCCCCATACACAAATTTATGTGTTAATATTATAGAATCTTAGAATCATAGCACAGGATATAAATCATTATCATTTGTTTATGGTCAAGGAAGCCAGTGACCTCCACTGGGATTTACAGTCCTTGCCTCAAACAGCTTCTTTTATTTGCACAATTTGCTGGTTTTCTGTCTGTGCTGGTATTGTATGGCTGTGTTGGCACATAGTGACTGCATGCGAGTTTGGCAATAAGCAGCAGACAGGTGGGTGGCTCACTTGCCCCTTACCAGTGCTCGGCTTGCCCACAGCGGCACTTACAGAAGCATGGCCCCATGCTGATGCTGTTCCTGGGATGGTCTATGGACCTGGCACAGCACAGGTTGTAGCCTCTGCAACCCCAGTGTGGGGCTGTGTGGGCACCCTTTGGAGGCTATGGAATGTAGAATCATAGAATGGTTTTGGCTAATAGGGACCTTAAAGCTCATCTAGTTCCAACCACCTGCTCTGGGCAGGGACACCTTCCACTAGACCAGGGTGCTCAAATCCCCCTTCAAGCTGGCCTTGAGCACTTAAAAAGCTCCCTGTGGAGTGTGATCCATTCTACTGTGGGATGTACTGTGAGATGGGCTCTAGGACTGGTGGGATGGCTGCCTCCCTGCACTCCATTGCATGTTTGAGCAGATCATATTGCATGGCTTTGACCATAGCTGAGGGGCCCACCAAAATTATTTAGTTATGGAAAAATGTTGCACAAGAATAACATGGAAGAATTGTACAACGCACAAATGCTATTATACAGAGATAGGTATCTGCAATTTTTTTGTTCAGTTTGGGGCCACTTTCACAGATACACAAAGCAGCTGGTCTGCACCTGGTTTGTATCCAAAAAGGCCTTTGCTCATGAATAAATACATGACTAAAAATAACATTGCAGGTCTAATCTACTTACAGTCATAAAAACTTCAACTTCCCTATGGGTGCTCTGGAATAAGGGATGAAGTAATTTTGTCAAGTTTTAATGCAAAATCATTTTTTATTTGCATTATTAAAAGTGGACTTTAAGGCCAAGAACGTGTATAGCCAGACATTGTTTGGGGGGTTGAAAACACAATTTCATGTTTATTTTTCTGTCTGGAAGGTGGTTGATAATCCCAACAATCAGCATATAGTCTGGCTGTTGGACTTCCAACGGTAGCTGTTCTTATTGTCAATCTGGATCTTCAGTAACTAGATTTAAGTTAGAATTTAGAAAACACAGAAGATATCTAATAGTAAAAAAAAGGTTCCATGAAAATAAAACCATGAGGGTTAGATACCTCCTCTTAGATTTTTGTAGAGTCTTATTTTTGTGATTGGATGTGTTCTGTTCTTTCTGAAAGACAGAGGCAACAAGTTTGCCTTTTCACTGTAATTGATTAGTTATTCAACTAGTCTATTTTCTGTGAGCATGGTCAGAAATGAAATGTCTTTCTACTGCAGTCCACCTGCTTTACGTAAAACACAGATTTCAGTTGTGCTTTTTTTCTCTACCACTGTTACATAGTCCCCAAAACCATCTCTTCCATCCTGGGTATGAGAAAGAAATCATGCCTACTTGCCACTGGGCTTAAGCAGAGTCCTTTCATAGGAAAACTATGTTTACTTAGGAGAATAACATCATGTGGCAGGGCTATGGCAACAATAACACCTCTACTGCCAGAAAACACTTAGCTTGGGTGGCTCAGATGGCCCAAAATATTTAAGAGCATTTTTCTTATACTGTAAATTCCCTATGGTACGTTATTTTCTGCTGAAAGCTAATAACTACCCTGTCTGTAAAGCAACTGGTCTTAAGTTTATTAGCTTGCAAGACAGAGAAATAACAGACACATATCACTGACATTTAACAAAGATATCTTTCATGGGTTTCTGTATTTTTTCACATGCACCACACGTTTCTCTTTAGTTAGAAAAACACGGTTTGAACCACATTCTGAGTAACTTCTTACGAAGAAAAGCACATTTTCCAAAAAGTCCTTAATGCTTCACCAAATACTGAGTCCCTTTTCAGAAAGTTCTGAAGGTTTTTGCGAGAGAAATAACATGTCAGCTTCCCTAGTGAAAGCTGTTTCACCCTTGCCGCAGCAGCCGTAGTATTTTCCTTGGCATAATGGGAGAACATCATCCTATTCCTGCACTGAAGTGGAAATGATTGCGCAAATGATTTTCATGCGAAAGTGGCTTCTTCAGGCGGTATAAATCCCCATTCACACTTCTTTAAAAGTATATTATTAGTCTGTTTCTTTCAGTAGAGGAGTGGGTCACAAGAAGATGATGCATGTGATCACTCTAGAGCAAAGGTGTAATAGCAGTATGTTCTGCTGGTTAATTAGAACTTTCCACTGTCTGGGTACATGTTGTGGGTGAGTGATGCACACAGAAGGTGGTCCAGTCAAACATGAATATTTTTGTCCTGGAAGGAGTCCACTTTCAGACAATATTTTTAGCCACAGAATAGTGAGACTGTAAGAAGCTAAAAGCTACCCTTGACTCCTGTATTTTTAACAGGCAAATCTGTACAAATTAAATGGTGCTCAGTGACACAGTACACGCTATTGCTGGTTTGTTCTTCCAGTGACCACATCCTCTTGAATTAACAGCAAGTCCCATGTGAACTGGCCAAGGTCACAGTAAGCAACAGGTAATGCAGAAAAAAATGGAGAGAAACGAGTGGCACGCTTGGTAAAATTATTTCTATTTTAAACTGGCCTCTACAATTTTTGGAATCTGAGTTGTGCTGTGAAAAGAATTTGAAAAGAATGCACCTCCCAAGTGACTCAACTTTTGAGTTGAACCATGTGGAACTTCAAAAGCTGAAGCTGCAAGTTGTGAAAGTCCTCCTTGGGTGCCTGGGGCTCTGCTGAACTTGTGACAAAAGTTTTGTTAGCTTAAATGGGAACAGGAACAAGACTTTGATTATTCTTTTTTCAAGTCCATGAAGAAGTCCAAGTACCAGTTGCCCTGACTAGTAATAAGAAAAATTCAAAGGAGAACAGTAGTTGTACATCCTGGAATGTCAATGTTAACTGCCCAAACTGCAGTCCCAAACTCTTAATAAGATGAAAAGCAGAGGGATTAATTTTCTTTTGTGACCTAAGCACACCAAAGGCTACTCAGAAGCCTGCCTGGGTGGTATATTAGAGGACAAGGAACTGAGATTAAAAATATTCAGGAATGATCCAAGCTTCACACTAAAGAGAAGCTGTTGTGTCTAGGGCTAAAGAGAGGTAATGCTGGTGTTTTATAGTCTAACAGTTTCAAATGACTTACAAGGAACGTGTATATTTCTCTCTTTATTGGCTCACCTACTTAAAGGTGCACAAAGGCACAATGGTTTATTATCACAGTGCCAGTGGGGCTTCAGTTGTGAGCTTATTAGACTGGTGTCTCTGCATGATCCACACAAAGAGTAAGCATTTGACAGAAAGCAAGCTGTTCCTCTTCACCACCCTCTTCTCCAAAACTTTGACATGACAAAATGTTAACTTTTTTTCTGCATGAGTGGCAATTGCTAATTTGGGTAGAAATAATTTGGCTACAATACTTGTGGAAAAAAACACAGAACATTGGGAAGCGTTTGCGGATAGTACAGCCCTGGGTTTTATTTGGACTGTTTCCCAGGCACTACACAAATGGAAGTGTGGTGCTTTTACATTTTGAATTCAAAATAAAATGGCCTTTTTAGAGGTATTGCAAAGTACTACATCTAGAATCTAGCATTCAGGTTGCTTAAAAAAATTTGCTTGTCCCCTTCAACCTGCCACTAGGAGGAAAGATGGCAAACAGTAAAAAAGCCTTCCTAAAATGCAGCGAATATTCGCGTAAGAAATCCAGACTAGGATTCCACATATTAACACACTGAAGGTGTTCCAGGCAGCCTTATCAGATATACATGCCAGCTACACATTCTTTAATTGCTGACAGATAACACAGCAGATCCAGTATTTCCTTTGGTTTGGATTATTTTATGACTACACCAAATTCAGACTTTAAATTACCTGGAGTCACAGATTCTGTTCTACCTTAAAATCAGCAAGAAATATGGTAATGTAAATGTGGTGATGTTTTAATGAATAAACATTGCTCCTATTTACAGTATTTTATCTCTGAATATGACCCTTAGATGTGTAGGAATGACTGTCAGAGAGAACCCAAGGGCAAATATTTACATATTTACAAATTACATATAAGGACAGGTTGAATGTTGAAAGCCTTTACATTGTTTTTCCTTGAAAAACAACAGTGACAAAACAGTGCCTTCAAAAAAGGGTGGAGATGTGTTCTCGTGGCCATACATATCTTTTCCTCATCCACCTTGCAGCATTTATTTCAGTCAGTGGAGGTTTTCTTTGTCTAGCACTTTGGACTGTTTTCCATCCAGCTCCTGACACTACTGCAGACGCTGACAGGAGGAGAAAAGGGATATTTGGGTTATGCCTCTGCCCACCTGCTTTTTTTTTCAATTTGCTAAGTATTTCTCATTCTGTGATTTTTCATCTGCTTTCAACAGTACTTTTCAAGGTCTATTGATCTAGCATAAAATGTAACCATTACTATATCCAGAATACCTGAAAATTACCACCCTGTGTTTCTTCTGTGTTCTAGAGCCACTAAACAAACACATCCAATGGCCAAGTCAAGCAGGAGTAAAGTGAACAAAGCTGTGACAGCTCAGAGGAGAAGGTGGCAAAAATAGCTTTAAATCTGGGGAGCTTCTTTCAAAAGCTGCATTATTTAGTGTTCAGAGTAGATCTGTCTTTCTATCTCCTTCTCCTTGGAGGAAATGTTTGTGTGGTAAACTGGAGACAATTTGCAGGTAGTGGATTTGGGGGCTTGCAGTCAGCCCCTTATCTGTCTGTCTACATGTACTGTTCACATGTGATTAGTATTTGCTGTGCTAAGTGTGGGTAAAGAGTCCTGTATGTGTGGCTGATCAGATAGTTCTGCTTTTAGTAGTATGCATCCTAGGCCAATATAAAAAATAATTTAATACTGCCAGCAAATGCAGTGGTTTTCTGCAAAAGTTAGAGAATGCAGTTTGTAATTTGAAACTGTTTTACAAATGCAGACATGTATTTGTCGAAGGGTTTTCACATACCACCTACAAGAGACGAAAAAGACCAGTTTTTTTGATGTTTCTCTATTTGTTTCATTTTGGTTTCGTTTTTTTGTTTGTTTGTTTGGTTTTCTTTGTTGTTTTTTTTGTTTGTTTAGGGTTTTTTTTGTTCTTTTTTTTAATTGGAGCATAGTCTTAAAATTCAGATTTCAAACTCTTTAAAAAAAAAAGAGGTCATAAATACCTTTTTCTTTTGCTTTTTCTTCATTTATCCCTTTTCATAAGTAAGTCGATTTCTGATAAAATGGAACTAATTCTACACGAAGTCCATAAACAAGAATTATGGGCTTGAGTTTCAAAATTCTAGAGTTTTACAGATTTATTCAGTTGAGTATCTTTAGCAGAATATATTTTTAATTCTTTTCTTTGGAATGCTAACATACAGCAAAACCTACCTCTCGAAGTTCAGCAATCTACTTCTATTCCTTTTCCATCTTCTGAAAAAATTAAATGGAATGTGTCTGTAGCTGTTGCACAGTGGTGACTTGCAAGTATTGCTTCTTGCTGCAAATAATGCAGTCTGGATGAAAGACATTTGAAGGTAAGCTGCTGGTTATGGACATTTATCATGTCCTCAACTCCTAAAATGGCCCAAAATTCATGCAGTGCTGAGTAAACAGTATATGCTTTGGAAAAGGGCTTTGTTTGGGAAAGGCAAAGAGAGGACACAAAGAATTTAGGTTTTCCATCTTTCTTTTACTCAGTGTTATTGGGCAGTAAGAATTTATGTGTTGAAAAAAACCAAACTCTCTCTACTTGTTAGGGATCTATTTTTAACTAGTAGCAGCACAAGGAAAATGATGTGTGCTACAGTAACATAACATTTACTTTACAGGAACAGATAACATGTTGTATTTTGTGGCACTGGAAGCATTTTAGACATATATTTATAGCGTACTGGTTGCCAAGGTGCACTTTGGGTTCCCCCCAGTTTTATCATTGCACGAAAATAATTAATTTTCTTTCCTAAAATTGGAGGACTTCAATATCCAGAGATTCCTGCCTTGACTGTTAAAGTTGCATAGGCCTATCAATATCTCAGCTTCAGTAGAAAGGTTAATAAAAATAAATGATATAAAGAAATTATTTTTCTACAAAAATGTGCTGTAAATGGCATTACCACTATGCCTGAAATTGCAATTTGCCCATTATGAAGGCATGAAACAATCTGGGACGTTTATTTCCCCTCACTATAACAGCTGGTAGATGGAGCAACACCATTAATAGAAGAGTCTATAAATGAGTGCTAATTATGTAACCAGGTTGATTCGAAGGGGATGAGTTCTCTTTTATTTTAATTGATATATTCAATTCTTACATGACAGAACAAAATAATTAATAATGACAGTGACAATTATTGGAAAACACACATTGAAAATGATACTTCCAGGGTTTTATATATGTGATAGAAATTTATAGTATGGGAAATTATCTAAGGCAAATTTTTTATTGTATTTTTACTTCACAGATTTCAGGAACAGTAAAAAGGAGTATATTATAGGAAAAATGCTGCTGACAGTGGAATTAATGACTTATGAATAAACTCTTTAGCCTCTAGTTAAATTGGACTGCTTTTGAACTTAATTATACTGGTTCTGGAATATTAAAATTTAATATTAAAATTGTATTTTAACAACTAAAAATGGACTAAACACTTCATAACCTCTGCTTAAGCAGAAGTCATCTGTAAACATTGTTTATATTTAGATTTATATCTATATTTTCATACGTATATATTTGGGTCAGTTTACTATTGATGTAAAATCCAAGTTGTTAATTTGAAAAGAAGAAAAAAAATCGTGTAGTTGGGGTGGGTTTAAGGCTTTTCAGGCTTCTTTATTATTTGTATTTTGTCTGATGACAAGCTCAGAATAACTATGAAATATGGAAAACCTGTATTTTCCCTATAATAAACTTTATTTAGAGGTCTTGCATAGGTTGTACCAAGATGAACTTATGGCTGAGCTTTTCATGAGGATCAGTAAGATGCAGTTTTTCAAAGGTTTAATACAAAAGCAGAAGAGGAAAACAAACCCAGTAAACCCCTTAACTCCTGGGCTCCCTGTCAGATCTGTCCTCATTTAGGTGGGCTTCATCCCAGGAAAGCAGTATGTCTCACCACAGATTTATAGACCAAGACTTTAATGAGTGCTAATATTAGAAGTACATGCAGACCTCTCCAACATGGAATAACAGAGATTAAAAAAGAAATAAATTTCAAAACCTGATGGGCATTTTTATGTCAGTAATAAAGTCAGTTATTTTTAGGAACATTTTAATACAGATATTTACAGTGTAAAGCTATTATAAATTTTAATGAATTATTGGTAAAAGCTGTTTATATCTTTTCTTGTGGAAAGGGTTCTCACCATAAATATATATATATATATGTATGTTTATGCAAAGACATTTCAGAGGAATTATAAACTGGATAAAGTCTATACTGAAGAAATTAGACTCTTCTTCCTGTCTGATAGTAAAAGATCAAATCCCTTGAGGCTTTGTTTAAACAAATTCA